AATATGAAATAGGAGAACTGCGAACGCATCGTTAGAGTTTTTCACACGGATTTTTACGATCATCTTAGCATTCAAACGATTAAGCGTATACAATATATACAGTATTATATCATAAATTATTTTAATAAGTTAAGCTAGTGAACCAAAAATTACTGAGACAATATTGTACCATCAATCCCAGCAAACTGACAAAAATAATCTATATGTACTGAATTAAGAATACAAAGTTACTTAAAAACATGACTAACAATTTTTTTATCTATTTGTCCTGACGAAATAAATTTACATAGATATGTAGTAGTATATGTAATTACAGTTTACAGTAAGTATATATCATACAGGATGACAACACAGTTAAGTTTTAGAAGATTTTAAGGGACGATTTCTCATACTTTGTAAATTAAGAAGAAAACTTCACTTATGGCTATATATCCAAAACTTAGTTTTAAAAATATAGGGTGTCGAAGTTGAAGTAAAAATTTTCTTTCTTTGAAAAATTTCGAAAACCAATTATTTTGGTGATACTTTCTACTTCGAATGTGTTTAAAATTTTATCGAAATAAATTGAGTAGTTTTTAAAATTTTTAGAAAAAACAAAATTTTTACTTCAACTTCGGCACCCTATATCTTTGAAATTAAATTGTTTCAGACATATGTGAAGTTTTTGTCTTGATTTAGAGAGAGTGTGAAGAATCAACATCCTAAAATATTTTATACTACGTAACATACTTAACTATTTGTATAATGTATGAAAAAGTTCAGTGCAATTTGATATAATAATTGTAACTATAAATTGTGATTCATGAAATTATTCAAAAAGTTTTTTGTATGTAATTTTAGAAACATATTTATGAATTAATTTTATAATTTTATTATAAAAAGTTTAAACCGTGTATATTGTATACATACACATAAATTCTATTTTTATTTTAAACAGTCAATTATCTCCGAAATTATTAATGATATTTAAAATATTTCGAGAGGGACGTACTTTGATGTTCTATACACTCTTTAAGGCGCCAAAAAATATGAAGATTATCTTCATTTTTTAAAATAAAATTATATTTTTGCACATAATATGATCTCTCCAATTATTCTGCATATGAGAGTACACTAAGATAGACGTATCAAGAAATTAATAATATTTATGAAAATTTATTATATACTTTATTCTGGTAAATTTTGACATGATGAAATATAAATATCTCATGAACCATTAATTTTTGGTAATTACGTTTTTTTTTCATATCTCATATATATTTTTCAAGATATTATTTAACTGTTTAAAATAAAATAGGGGACACCTTAAATATTTATTATCTTCATCTTGAGAATGTCTATATAATTTATGTATTGCAAAGATGTAACATAACAATATATATATTGATCAAATTTTTATCACGAATGTATAACGAAATTACATAGAATCTTGCTGGTGATAGTGATGGTCAATCATTATCGCAATTTTTTCCTAATTTAAATAATTTAAAAAAAATTGTAGATAAAACAAGGATAACAACATAGCAACGTATTTCGTTATTTCAAAGCATTTCAAAGTACCTATGTCATGTCATACGTATGCAATAGTATGTATCAGTATGATTTGAAGTAGATCATGTCATCCTCCGATTCGATCGTTCAAAAAAATACTTGTGCAGTAACAGAAACTCAAAACACAGTTCAATTTCCTGAAATAATCAACGACAAGATAGACACCGAGAAGTTCTTGCAAGCTGCTCGCGATGTTGTGCGGACTGTTGGTACGTACCTCTATTTTCGATTTTAACCTCAAAGGTTACCGAGGAACCGAAATCGAATTGCTGCTGTACGATTATAAATTAATCTTGCTTTGAATACAACATGACGTGCAACAGAAACAAATTTGTGTTTCAGATAAATTTGGCAAATTATTTGCACCCGTACGACACGACATGCAAGGCAATATCAATGTAAGTTAAATAAGCAATATTCATAAAAACAAAATTATTTACGAGTGTATTAACAGTCTATGGAATTTGAATTTTACATTCTTATTATTGATTGAATTTTACATTCTAATTACAGAAACTCACTACTAGGTATTGTATGGATAAAACAGCTAACTCGACTCTACAAGACATGATTTTATTTGAAAAATCTACCGAAAAGGACCTCATTGCAGTTGATGCCTTAATGTGGTTAAGAAGGTTACTAAACATATTGTAATTGTAAATGTTGACATTTTCAATTATTGAATGGAATCATAATAACTATTTTTATACAGTTATTTATACACAATAATTATTTTTGTAAGTTTTATTTTTGCAACAACTTTACAAATGTTTGTTCTTCAGAACCAAAATCTGTAATTACTGATGTTAGATTTATTAAGTTATTTAATTTATGTTCATTAAAGGTTCTAATTAATTTGAAAAAACCAAAATAACATAACTTATATAAAAAAAAGTAGAAAACTAAGTTTTAATAAAATGTTTATATATTCTAATAAGAATAATCAAACTTGCTGATGTAACATGAAAAAATTAAATCATGTTTTAAAGTTGAAGAGTAATTGGTACATAATTGAATGTATATAAAAAATGTATGTAAAATTTAGACAAAAGTTAGGCCTGAGATTCCATCTAATGACCAAGAATGTCAATATTTACTTATATTGTGTATATATATACATAAGTATATTTCTTTATTAAATCTGCAAGTCCTTTCAATTATATGCTCTCGCATATAAAATTTATCTTTATTTAATGATTGTTACATGATTTTAGGGCCTTACATTTGATTTTATTATTCTTTGAAAGAATCGTGGAGACACATAAAACTGGAGAAGCAACAGAAGATTTAGTCGCATTCTTGAAAGAAGCTTACAAAGAAACCTTAGAGCCATATCATGGTTGGTTGGCGCAACAATTGTTCAATGTATTTATATATTTTTCTGTCTATGTGTCTATAAACTAACAACTTACACAAATTATAATATTGTATTTAAATATTGATTTTGTTATAGCTCTTGTCACGTATGACACCTTCTCGTTCGCAGCTGCTATTAGCGTTAGCCGATGGAGAAATAGGGAGAGAAGAAATTACTTTAAATAATATGGAATTATCCTTAACAAATTTAAGGAAAAATATAGTGGCTTTGGAGACGTTTTACAACGATCATAATCTAGAAGTCACTACGGTAGTATAATATAAAATATGTTAGGGTTCAATATATTATAAATTCAAAAATTATAATTTTAATATTATATCTTCGTTATAGAAAATATTGCCTGAAAAGATACGTAAATAGATTATATTAAAGAAGATATAACGAAATTAAGAGAAATTTTATACGTGTTAGCATAAAATCATAAATTCTCATATATTTCTATAGGTTCCGACCGAGTATAAAAGTAGTTTTTATTCGAATGTAACATATCATTTATATCATGTTAAATTAAGTCTTTTAGCTTATTAATAATGCAATATTTTGTTGTTAAATTGAAAGAAATAAAGTAATATGTATTTATTACAATTAATGTCTGCTATCATCAATCCCATATAACTGTGCAATATAAAATCTTTTAGCATGATGGTCTGCCGACTTTTTTAAAGCTACAGTAGCTGTTATAATTTCTGTAACGAGCAGAAACGCCATAATATTGTTAATAATTGTTTCGCTAAAGTGAGGTTTGGTTTTGCTATCGAAAAGAAGGAACATTTCTAAGGGAAAATGTATGAGAGTAGATATCAGCCAAAAACTTGCCAGTTCTGGAATCTGTATACAGATTAAGAGAATACCTTCAATCCTAATATATATCCATTTGTCTATCGTACATCTTATTGAAATAAATTACCTTCTCTGCTAGGTTTCCAAGATATCCTAAATACAGCCGTATACCTTCCAATACTGATATAACAATAAATACAGCTACAGTTATAAATTTGTACACGTCTGTCAAGTAATAGTACTGTAAAATAAGAAATAATATCTGTATTCTTTATCTCTCTACTGTCAATTTTTTTAAAAATTTTCATTATTTTAATACATACTTACTTTTGCATCTAAATTGATAAGTATTACAAAAAACCATACGGGATACATCCACACATTAAAATACAATGCCATTTGGAGCGGCAAACTAGATTGTATCTGATTCCCTGTATAAAGCAAATATATGAATGATAAAAATATATAATACATAAATATGCCAAAATAATGCAAAAAATTCAATTAAAAGTATTATTAAACCAGAATTAATAAAGTTAGAAATTTTATTAATGTTTTAATTAAGTTTTAAAATTTATTATAGAAATTATATGTATAAAGAATATTCATCGATTAATTATATTATTATTGTCTTAAATCTTCAATCAATATATTAAAAACGTCTCATTAATATAAATTACATTAACTATAAATTGATTTGTGATATTGAAGCGAATGGCAGTAACAATATAGATGAATTAGAGTGACCTAAATATTTAATATTATGGTCTCTCATGGCAACTGCTATCAATAACAATGCATAACATAAGATGCATACCTATATCATAAAATTCCTTTTTTCGATCGTGATATGCCAGACCGGGAAATAAACGATCTGACGCGGTGACAATTGACGTTTTCCACATTATCATTGCTTATAACATGAAATTTTCACGTTCGGAAAAATAACGAAGTTTAAATACACATTTAAAACTGAGTTTGTATTCTAGTTCCTCATACAACCAGTAGCGACAATTAATCACCTGCTACCAGTGTTGCCAAAACTATAACTTCAAATACATAATCATCTAACGAGTACTTAAGATAATAATCGTTATCTAATAAAATTCTAAATTTTTATTGTTTAAAATCTTTGTCATAAAAATCATAGTTTGACATAATAATACTACATATATATATATATATCCTTATTAATATTAAACTAAAGCTAATATTAAAGTATATTATTGAATATTAAATAATAGTGAACAATAATTATATTTTAACAGTATAAAGCGTAAGGATTGATAGATTTAGAGATCTTTGTGTTCTTTATTTTGCTCCCTCTTGAATTAATGTATTTGACATAAAACATAGAAAATCTGTCATATTTGATAAATGCTATTATACAAGACTCATTCATTTTGTTAAATTTAGTGGAGAACATGTTTATAATGTTATATGTACAAGTTTAAAAGTTCTCTCAGAAATAAAGAATCGTAAAAAAATTACAATCTGATGTAACAGTAAGATCAAGTTCAAAACCATTGGAAAACATTTATGGGCACAGTAAATCACATATTTTGTCTATTACTATGATCATTTCTTCCCAGACTTTTTTATGCCGCCAGTGACAAGAGGTCCTTTTTGACTGGCTTTCTTTGCTGCTTCAGCTAGAGCTTTCTGTGCTTCCTTCTGCTTTTGTTTAAAGGCTACATCCTCATCATCCAAAACCTTGGATTCCTTCTTTGGAGCCTTCAACGGCTTCTTCTTACCTCCTTCTCGGCCAGACATTCTAAAATACATAAAAATTAATCACATGTGTCTGATTATCTTTTATTAAAATGACACTGTCAGCTGTAACATTGTATCAGGAATAGTCACCTATAACCTTGTTTATTGTGTAAACAATGTTTTGTGATTACTTTGACATTCCCAGTTAAAAGTTATCATTTTTAATTATATATATATATATATATATGTATTAACTATTCTACACTTTATTTTTAAAATCATTACACAAATTTAATTAATATTTTCTTAAAAAAAATAAGAAAAATTTTTTAATTAGGTATGATTTTCAATCAAATCAGAACTGACCAAATTTTATTTTCTCATTGTTGGAACATAAAAATATCTTCTTAGATAACTATTCTTAGATTCTTAGATTAAATCAATATAACCTTCGCAGAAACGGAAATTAATCAAATCTCAAAATATTCTACAATAAGCGATAGACAATGTTAACAGCTGTGCCATTAATATTATCACAAAATTAAGTCTACAATTCAATTTAAATATAAAGAAAATACTTAAAAGTTATAGATATAATTTATATTAATAAAACAGCGACACACACATACATCTATATAGTACGTAAAACTACTCTTACGACTACGGTTCTGTCAGTATATCACAAACACCCCACTTACTTGCAACTGTTTTAAATTTCCGGATAAGATGGTACTATGATGGTACTAAACGCGAGGTACGAGAACAAGAGGAGACAGATTTCGAAATTCGTTGAATTCGTTTTGATAAAGTTTAACAAATGCCGCTGTACAGCAAATTTTTCTCGAGCTAATCGCACAGATTGTGCTGCCACAAACCGTAAATTTCGAAGCTCGACGATCTCAAGTTTGTTCAGGTCTGTTCCTTGTATATTGCTAGAGAGAGAGAGTCTCTGTTACTTTTCTGTTTTATCATTTTCCTTTTAACTTTTTATCTATAAGTAGCATCAAAATCTTTTTTTATTTAAAACAGAACTAAACTGTTGCAGAATACAAAATATCCAAAGAATTATATACACATAAATATATACATATGTGTAAAAAGTATCTAATAAAAATTCTTTTCTGAGAATTTTTTACTATATACAAGTATAAATTTTTTAAATTTCAGAATTTTGGAATAATTTATAACTCTTTAGAAAATTTCTCAGATATTTTTATACAAATTCGAACACCTCGGAAATAATACCGATAAAGTTTACATCTTTTCTAGAAGTTTTATTATGTGAAATTTGAAATATTCTAAAGTGCCTTATTTTATTATTATGCTTTAATTTTTTCAGATTTTATAAGATGTCATAAAAAATTATAGAATGAGAAACCTTAGAATATTTCAAATTTTATATATATATACAAATTTCTAAGAAAAATTGTAAACTTTTTTTTAATTTTCTAAAAAGTGTTTCAAGTCGTACAAAAGTTTTAGGAAAATTTTTCACCAGAAACATGGCATATCAAATTGTAAATAGAATTCTGTCTTATAATCTATAAATAATGTAAAGGATTTTAAACGCGTTTTTCATTTTAATTCCAGAAAGTGTAAGGTAATTGTGAAAACAACTATACTAGTATAACTTGTGGTTTTTATATAAAACATAACAATTATTTTATTGTTCGAAATAATCTATCAAGATTCATCAGATTATGACAGCTTTTAATGAACGAGGATCTTATTTGGAATCGATTTAAAAATTCATTGCAATGTTGTTCAACTTTAGCAGTTATAAATATGCAAGTAAGTTGTGTACATATATATGTTTTATAAAAACAAATTCCATTGTAACCGTTTGAATTGTCTCTCTTGTGTAAAAGTCACTTTTTCATTATGTTCGATTAACATTTGTATCTCTGTTATTATACCTCACAACATAAAAGTTATATATTATTGATAATTATGAATAAGGGTGCAGTCCCATGGAGCGTATCGCGGATTAGCGGATCGCCAATCACAGAATCGTTCTGTTAGATCTGTTTACAAATTTTGCAAGCAAATCTAACAGAACGATTCTGTGATTGGCGATCCGCTAATCCGCGATAAGCGCGATACGCTCCATGGGACTGCACCCTTACGATATATCTTTTCCACCCTTCTGTTTTGTTCAAAAGTTTGAATATTGGTAGCATTGATGTTATTATTGGAACAAGATTTTCAAAGTTCCCTAGGCCTCTAGTCTGTTCTTTTCCGCTGAACTCCTCGCATCGTTCATCTCTCTTCTTTTTCTCTTCATATGTTGAAGTAAAGAGAAGAAAAGAGATGAACGGTATTTATAAAGAAGTTTCAACGAATAGATTTTATATTACACGTTACAGAAAATTGTTCTTTCTTCTTTTTAGACTATTTAAAAAGTGAAGAAAAACACAATCAAAAAGAATTGTTTGAAATATCGCGCTTCTTTAAAGAAAGAAGTGCGATATTTTTCAAGCCATTCTTCTTGAAAGAAAAATTCGTGTTTCTCCTAAGAACTGTAAAATGAATGGTGGGGACAAAATATTCGAACAGTTCGACCGTTAGCACTCGCGCTAGTCAGTTTCCTTCGCGATAATCAGTAGAAGCGGTCATAAAGTAAATAGGATAAATAAAATTCTTATCACGATAATTAATTGAAATATTTAATACGTGGCCATCAATATTGAAACAATTTAGACTTTTTGTTCACGTAACTTATTTATTATTTTATTTAATAAGCTCGTATATAAGTTAATATGGAATTTTGATTAGAAAATGTGTTTGACGTCAAGGCGTGATAAGAATGTATAGCATTTACTGATATCAGCATCTCTGGTAAAATCTAAAAAGTTTTTTAATACAACAGAATTGAGAAACATCTGATAAAAAATCAAGCGAAATAAACCAAAAATGTTAGAATGTTTATTTTTTTTTTTAATAAAAATCAATGACTTATTCTTAAAATGTTTGCTATAAATAAAATTTATAATTTTTTATAATTATACTTAGAACTTATATTTTTAAAAGCAACTCTTCGAGTTGCGACAATTTTATATTGGCACTGACGAAGTGAAAGGAATCTTAGTCCTTGAAATTGCTTGATAACACAGAAATTAAAAAGACTTCATTACAATTTATAATTGTAATATATTGATACATCCGCGTGATCGTTCCTTATCGTTATTTTTCAAATCGTAATCACAATCGAAGAATCATCAATATTAAAATTTCGCGAATATTTTTTTGTGAACTAATATTTTTAATGCAGTAATAAAACTCCAAATAAAATCACGTTTTGTTAAAACGTAAATTGAATAATGCCATGTATGGTTTAGGATCATTGCACCGAATTTACTCAAAAGCGCATCTCACCATGCCACCTAAATTGGAATTAATTGCCGCAGCATGCGAAAATATGGGCATTGGAGTAAATGGCGACTTACCTTGGCGTTTAAAGTAAGATTTGTTAGTAAACGATATACTTGATTAATTTAGAGAATATTTGAACGAGTGATTCGTACGTAGGACGGAAATGGCGTACTTCACGCGCATGACGACTAACACAAAGCATAAAAATAAAAGAAACATCGTACTTATGGGCCGGCGCACGTGGGAGTGCATCCCCGAAAAGTATCGACCTCTGAAGGACCGAATAAATATGGTGTTAACTTCGCAATCGTTGTAATTATGGGTGAAATAAAAATAATGTAAAAGAAAATTTAATGTTTCAGAAAACAATAGATGTATTAATTTTAGGGATTATGGAGACGACGCGATTGTGTGTAAGAGTATACCTCATGCACTTGACATAATTTCAGGAATGCAAAATGAAGTAGAAAGAGTGTGGGTAATAGGAGGAAGTAGTGTATACAAGGTATTTTTTATATAAATTACACATATATATTTTTGAGAGTGAGAGAGAGAGAGAGAGAGATAATCTGTTCTTTCCTAATTGCACAATATTAGATTTTCTCAATTTTACGTGAAACATACTCGCAGTAAAACGTATCAAGTAATCGTAATTTAAAGTTAAAAGAAAGAGAAACAATTTGATTTGGAAAACATACAGGAAGTGCGATTAAAAAATAGACCTGATAATGCAATGTAAATTTAAACACTAACAACACAAATTTAAATTATATGTAACAATTATTGTTTAATTCCATACTAGAGTGCCATGGAATCTCCTCACTTTGGCCGATTGTATTTGACGCGTATAAAGAAAAAATTTGAATGTGATACGTTCTTTCCTTTTATTCCAAATGATCTGGTGTTAATCGAGTAAGTATTATTATTTCTTTGTATTGGATATAAATGTTCTATATTGCTACTTTACTAATAATAATGATTCCAGAGATCCGACAGTACCACAAGGTATACAGGAAGAAAAAGGAATTGAATTTGTATACGAAGTATATGAAAGAAGATAAATAGCAAAACTACTTCTTTCAATCATTAAAATTATATAAATATAAATATTATTTTTTTAAATGATATTATCTTTGCTGTATCTATAATAAATAAATCAAAGTAGAATATCAAAAAACATTGATGATATTATCAATTATAATTTTGATATATAAATTATATTACTGATGATACTTTTTGTACAATGTGTTCCTGAATCATATATATTTTTAACACCTTTTTCACAGAAAATAAAGATTTCATAATGAAAATTACGTTTATACGTTTAAATGTATAAATACATTAGCCAGGTGGCCATTGCAACTGCCGACCACCAAGAACATGCAGATGCAGATGATACACTGACTGTGCACCATGCTTTCCATCGTTGATGACTAAACGGAACCCATTTGTCAAACCCTTTTGCTTTGCAACTTTATGAGCGACATTCATCAGGTGACCAAGCAAAGGTTCATCCTCATCTTGAGCTTTGGAAAGTTGCAAAATTGGCTTTCGTGGAATTACCAGAAAGTGTACTGGTGCTTGAGCATTTATATCGTCAAATGCGACACACTGTAAATCAGAAATATATACAATAAATTAATATTAGCATTTTACATAAAAACAATATATTATTTAATCCAAGTCAAACTATCACTAATCAAAATATATATAAAAATTAATTTCCTCTCTATATCTATATTTATTTGAATCTACAAGTTTTTTGATACAATAAGTCAACTAATTGAGTCTCTATATATAACTCAGTAAACTACAACAAGTGGTTATATAATAATCATATGGATAACAAAATGAATAACAAATCATTTCAGATAGATAGAATTTCTGCTGTACATACAAGGGTAAATACAATACGTCACGAATAGATAGTATATAAAGTAAATTTATTGTAATGCATAAAAACTTTAGCTATATACTTTTAATGATATGGTAAGCAATATACCTAGCATATAAAATAAGACATGATATTTTCGATAATAAGTCTGATGCAAAACATTTAAATGACGCCGGTAGATCGAATTTGCTATGTAATTCGATGGAAAAAATTCAATTTTATGTGTTATGTCTTCTGTTTACCTGGCTGTCCTCGTAAATAAAATTGCATGGAATTTCTTTACGTAATATCTTTCCAAATATCGTATCACCTTCTGGCGCAGCAGACTGTGCCTTCTCCACCTCGGTCGCCATTTTTCTCAAACTGGCAGAGCAGACCGGCAGGTTGCCACCTACTGTCAGGTGTTTGTACGCATTTATGATGAAATTCGATAACCTCATGTCAAAAGAAGATTATGTGATTATGTGGTCACGATTACCATAAATAAAGTGAATATCGTTAACTGCACGTTACTTTGCGGTTTCGATGCCTCATTTTATTCCTGAATTCTATTTTATTGCGGTCCGAAGGTTGCGATACGTCAGTGCAGCCACGATCGAGATATCGAAGCGCGAGTTTCAAATTAGACAATTGCACTCCAACACTTAGACAATTGGAAATCTAGAAATAGATCACGTATTAAGGAATTATTCGGAATGGATTTCTATTAGAATTATTTTATTTCCCTTAGAAAAAAGAACATAATAGAAATTTACGGAATAATTGAACAATTTCGATTGGAATCCATATATTCTGTATAATTATTTTATAGGTGTACAACATTTTCTTATTTCAACGGATTGCTTTCTATATTTCTTACGATTGTAAAAAAAGAAAACAAAGTTCACTGATGGATACATTGGGGAGATTAATTGTGAGACACGATCTTGCATGTAAAACTATAAAACTTTTATTTCATAAGACAGTCTTCTCTTAATAGTAATTATTCTATTTTCGAAGTCTTAATACAATAATGCACTCTAAGAGGCATATAAATATTGTCACTTATTGCTTTATACACGTATCGTCGAATTGTACATTAATAAAAATATGCTATTAATGATTGCAATGGTTCATGGTACATGCAAAGTATGGCAGTGCGCTTTCTGGTTTTCTCCGGAAGATCTTTAAATCATTCCCGTGTTTCTAATGGGTCGCACAGAGGGGCCCTAGTCTTACAAGAATATAATTCTATTTATAAAAAATATACATAATATCTTGGATTACATTAATTTCGCATTAAACCAAAGCTACATATTACAATCGCTTCCGTATCTCTAATAGGATTTGTCATAACTACGTATATTTTATGTAATTTAATGTAAATGTCGTGCATACAGTTAAACTACGAGGTTGGATCCGATATAAACGAGAATTTTGCTTTGAATCCTAGAGAAGGAAAAATAGGACGATACAATGTTAAGGATGTTTCGGTAGAGTTTTTTTTAGGAGGAAATTTTTAGCCTAAGAGCGTCCTCGAGTCGGTACGGCAGTCTGCAACAAAATGAGCGAGAAAAAAGATTCATCTGTACAACGGATCATAATTAAATTTCTGACGAAGAAGGGGGTTCGATCTGTTGAAATTCTCCATAGATTACGCCAATTCGGGATCAACCCTCTCACAGCTCCATGTGTGTTCTTTTGCACAAGACTTTCTCTGGAGGACGGGAGAGAGTTGAAAATGATAGAGTCACAACGATCGGCTATTAAGACAAGTATAACGGAAGACAATACTCGTTACCTTCTAGAGACCGACGATGCATTACAATTGCTGAAATTGCTGTTCATCTTGAAAACAATTATGGCAGTATCCAAAAAATTATTTCAGATGAGCTGGAATATAGAAAAGTATCAGCTCATTAGGTTCGGCGTCTTCTCATGGAGCAGCACAAAAATGTTCGTCTTGACATCATCAATTTCCTGTGTTGCACTTGAAAACCTCTCTACAACCTCTCTAGTCCAAATTTAAGTTCATGTGACTTTCACATGTTTGGACCTCTGAAAGAGGCATTGGAAGAGAAGCGTTTTGTGAACGACGCAGAAATAGAGGCCTTCATGCACAATTGGCTCACAACACGTTCATCTTCTTTTTATAATGACGGCATTTATAATGATGATGGCTTTTTATAACGACAAAGAAGGTTCCAGTCAAATGAGGAAAATGTGTTTCCAAAACAAAAAATTACGTAAAAAAATTTAAATGTTTTGTATTTTTATTTCATATAAAGAAATTTTTTAAAATTCTCGTTTATATTTGATCCTCGTATTACCACTGAGTAATAACTGCTGTGAAATATAAAAAAAAAAGTTAATCAGAAGTGTAATTTATGACTATAATAGCGTCATAAATAAAAAAGACGATGACTGAAACATTAAGACGTTATTACGTAAATAAATAACATATCAAAAATAATAATAATCGTTTCACTTTCGTATTGTACATTAAAAGGTACACCTAGGATAAATTAACTTAAATATAAACTTATTTCGCAAAATGTTAGATTGTTATATTCACTGTTAATAACTTAATTACGCAAGGTGTAAAAATAAGGGATATGTATAATGACTATTATTTAATACGACGCAACATATTTAAACGCTAGTTGAATTTATAATATTGTAGCATTTATATGCACGATTGTTAATACTTGGATTATAGATATTTAATATATAATCAACGTGTTAATAGTAATTCTATGTATATCATAATAATTCATATTATTCATTGTATTACACTTAAATGTCGCATATACTTTTATTCCTGAATATAATACGTCAGTCTGAGTTTGCCAGTTATATATATAATCCAGCACTAAGTCTAGATAACTTACGGAGCAGTCATTGTACGCCCTCCTTGGAAAAGTATCGGTGTCTTACGGCTTGAGCTGCAGTTATACGACTATGAGGATCAAACATGAGCATGTTCTTTATCAAGTCTAATCCATCTTCATTGAGATCTGGTATTATGAGACTGAGAGGTCTGGGATGTCTGTATGGAAAAGCATTCCAATTGAGCGATACATTCTCTGGCCATTCTTCCTGTGATGGAGTACCCAAAACTCTAAAATAAAACAAGGAAAAATATATATATAGCATAAAGAAATATTATAAAAGATATAAGGTTTATTCTGGAAATATAGGACCAAAAGAATAACTTACTGGAAAATCCTGTCCAGTTGATCACCTTCACTGGTACCTGGGAATAACGGTTCCAACTTGCAAAGTTCTGCTAATATGCATCCGACTGACCAAACATCTACAGGAGTAGCATATGAACATCCTAAAAGTACTTCGGGTGCTCGATACCATTGGGTTACAACCTGAATAGAATATCATTAGGTTTTCTAAATTGTAGTATAAAATGATGCAAGATCATAAAAAGTTGCTCATTTTCTTTGAATCACAGCCACTGATATATTATTCCTTGTTTAATAATATTCAAAAATTAGAGTTAACAATAAAATTATAAATATGTATATATGTAAGTATAAAAATAAATAATAATCGAATATTGATAATAGTAATATTTGTGATTGAGAAGAAATGTGTAATTTATAATTTGTGTACATATTATAATATCTAACACGTACCACGGAAGTTAATCTCATTTCAAAACCGTACGTCTTGGCCAGACCAAAATCCGCGATCTTGATTCTCCCTTCCCGCGTTACTAGAAGATTCTGCGGCTTCAAGTCTCTGTGTATTATTCTATGGCTATGTAGGAACTCCACCCCACAGAGTATCTCTTTCAACATTTGCCTCACAAGATACGGTGGGATACTCGATCGAGGCGAGCTATTCCGATAATGAGCTATGTACGAAGCGAGATCTCTTTCAACATGTTCGAACACCAACCAAAAGGTGATATCATGTTCCGGCCTTTCGAATGTACCATCACCCGATGATATATCGAGATAATCTCCTCCTTGGCAAATATCCAGTAATCTAACCTGGGTAAAGAAGAGCAAATATATAAAATATGTATATCTATACCTACAAAATATAGTATTAATTAATGAATAAAATTCTGATTACGATAGTTTACAATAAAATGCAGAATATTGAAGATCAGTATATATAAAATATGTATTTAATAACAGAAATAACATTTTGATTAAAAAGTACTTACAATATGTGGGTGTTCGTATTGCTCGAGCGACTTCAGAGCAGCAATTTCTCTTACTGTGGATGTAGGCAGACCGTCCTCCGTCAAAGGTATCCTGACTCTCTTAAGCGCTACGGTTTGACCACTATTCTTATCTGTAGCTTTGTACACTGTCCCGTAAGCGCCGTTCCCGATAACAGACAAATTTTCGAATGACGCTCGTTCACGCAGCAAGAAACTTTGTATCGTCGTCTCTTCTGATCTTCCAGAAGGAGCAGAGAGCTCACCTTGTTCGCTGTACTTCATTACAACAGATTTTAACGTCTTGAGCTGCTCTTCTCTCGATGTACTCGGGATCGCATCCGTTGAGGTCGATGCGGTATCACTCTCTTGTGTGGAAACATCCGGATTCGTTTGAGACAATTGTTTAGTCGATTTCGAGGACGTTTCACTGATTAAAACCAATTGCTTCGATGTTGCCTGTTCTGTAACATCTGAGAATGGTTTATCTCCTTCCAAAACGGTCTCTGAAGATATCTCGCTCGTGCTCCATGTCTCGGTACTTTCCACTTTTGTTAGGTGCTTTTCTCCAGACGAATCGGAGGTTTCGGATTGTTTGGGCCTTTTCGAGGCAGTTGGCGCCGATAAATCCGGTTCGAGCTCTGTGCTCGAACGTCGTGACCTACCAGCCATCACAACATCTCGACTTCTACCTGAAATAAAATTTGTTCTTATTGTCGACGAAAATAATAAAATTAGAAATTAAGAATATGTAGTCATTTCTTGGAAAAAGAAAAGAGAAAAACTGGACATTTCTATTTTAATTTTTCAAGGACAGTATTTCTAGGGTATCTTTAGAGAAAGAATTTTCAAGTAATTTTATGTCGATTTTTAAGAATTAGTACATTAGTGCGTTAAAATGACAGAAACAAATAAGAATATTTGCATACAAAAATTTAAAGCTATATTTATAAAATTAAAAGTAATAATGTAAACAAATAACGTAGATAAAAATATGATAAAAAAATTGTTTCCTTCTGATTTAATATACTTATAATATATCACGTGGTCTTCTTTAAAGCTAATGATTTGGATTTAAATTGAGATTTACAATTCAACAAAAAATTCAACTATTTTATGTTGTAGACGCAACAAATGAGTGTAAATTTCTCATAAGAAATTTACACTCATTTGTTGCGTCTACAACATAAAATTGTGAATGAACTAACTTCAATCTTTGTCGGAGATAATTTTACGTATTATCCAATAAGATATAATAATAATAATAATAATAACTTTAGTGTATTAAACAATATTAAATAAATTATATTACATTAAAATTTAATTTATCTCCGTAATAAAAGTTTTTTTCAAAATTTTTGTTCGAATTGAAACACTTTTTCAAAAATACTAAAAAAGTTTACACATTTTTTCTTAGAATTTTGTATACCTATACAATATACATATATAATAGAAAAGATGTAGACTTTCGGCACTTCTGAAGTGTTCAAATTTGTATAGAAAAATCTTTTTAAGAAAAGCATAAATATAATGAACATACAGCCACATACGTAGAATGTAATTTGCAAAAAAAAGTTATATATTTTTAAAAATAATCAATATAAACATTTCGGTTAATATCTTACTATAATACTATTCTTCAGTACAATTTTGAATTTCTAAATATTATGTTATTTACAATAAAACTAACTAAATTTCTATATTTTTTCATTCTTGTTTGCATCTAAGATTCAAACTATTGTCACATTGAAAATTATAATACCGTTTTTAATACCGGATTTCCAAATTCTGAATAATAATAATATAACAAAATTATTAATATTTTTCGATTTACATCATATTTATAAAAAAAAAACCTCTTTAACAAATTTATCGATGTTTTCAAACGATCAGTTTTAATTACTATAGCTAGTATTATATACATGTGAACTATTTCAACAATGGAGAAACCCCTTCCCATGTCATATCAAACTACTTGACATGATTGGCTTGTGTTCTTGAAAATGTCAAACTTCTAAATAATATTTATGTGTATAATAAAAAAAAGAGAGGGGGAAAAGAGAAGAAAAAGAGAATAAACGTTGTAAAATGGAGACTATTATTTTATTATATAGACAAAAAATGTTCTTTTTAAGAAATGTTCTTAAAAAATTATAAAATTACTTAGAAAATTCTAAAATTTACATTAACATTCTGAAAAATTATAAAAACAATTTTGAGAAAAATTTTCATCAAAATTTTCAATGCAAATAATAAACCATAACTATAGTAGCTAAATCCGAATCTTAGTAATAGGTTTTACTTCCGTTTGTTGATCTTGATAATTATCTACGAGATGGTCGACAGATTCATATCAAGATCTGTGCGAAAAATACGTGAGGGGACGAGATGCACAGCGCGGATATCGTGATACGTGCTGCGTGTTTGTACAGTCGCGCTTGCGACACGCGGGTTCGCGTCATGAGGCAACTATACACGGGGCCGGCTCGTTTCTCTCTTTTGCTTGCGTTTTATTAAAATTTCGAGACGGTACCACAAGCAGGACATACGATCATGGCAAGCCGTCTGCTACGCGACATCTGCACCGACACCTGCGCTCATATAATAGCCCGCTATGCCGGCTTCAACGTCGGCTTTCCGGAACATCTTGTGAACGCAATGGAAGCCCTAAACCCCACCAGGGGTCCTTGCCCTTTGTTTTCTTCGCTCGGGTCCAGCGATAGTAATTGATTATCAGATAAATATATTAAACCGTGGTACTCAAGAGTGCCATCTCAAGAGTGGAATTTCACAAAAGAAGAGAAAGAAATATGTGTCAGTTATATTTCATCAGATCATTAAGTCGTTTTTATTACGAATCTCATACAGAAAGAATGATTTTGCTGAAAATCTAAAAATTTAGATAGATACAAATGTAGAAATAAATTTTGTTGGACTATATCAAAATAATTACGTAAAATACTCAAGTTGATTTTGTATACAATTATTTTAATAATTTAACAAAATTATTTTTAAATATATAACTAAATTTTTAGATATTTTTAAATAAAATCGTTGTTTCCATGTAGGATACTTATTCCTAAGCATTTTGCTATTTTTGTTATTCAGGCTACTTTTGTTAGTCAGAGAATAGAATAGATAAAAATTTCAACAAATGGTTGGAATTTATCATTGATACGGCCTATACAGCATGGAGAGAATGATTTTGCTGAAATACTTAAAAGTTTAGCAAAATACAGAAATCTAAAAATAATTTTGTTGAAATAATTGGAATCTCAAGCATGGTAAGCATTGCTGCAAGATGTTTTAATATCCAAGTAACTAATTTTAGCGTCTTATATAATTATTTTGATATCCAACAAAATTATTTTCAGATCTGTATATATATCCAGCTAGATACTTTAGCAAAACTAAACCGTATTTTCCGTGCATAAGTTTGCAGCAATATTGCTACAACGTTGCAATGTCATTTCCGACACGACATCTAATGGCAAGCTATTTTTTTTTATTCAAAATAGATCTCGTGCACAAGCTATGTAAACTGTAAACTATTGGTTATAAATGATGCATGTCTCACATTTGACACGGTTGCGTGAATTTTGTTGCTTCCATCTGTGACGAGGAGTTGAATAAAAGAGGAAGCTGGAGATATTAGGCCAAAGAGATATGAAGTTACGATAGAAAAGATCCATATGGCATAATTCAAATGATTTAAATAGCCGGATGCCGAAAAAAGGCACCCGCCTTCATTCAGAGGAAATAATAAACTATACTGTTATCACTTCTTCTAATTTCTTAGTGGCACATGGCTGTCGTTAGATGTTAGTTGTGGGAAAAGTCGACAGAATACAGATAATTTTTAACGTCATTTGATTTATCTGTGATATATTGTGATGTATTATATTTTGTGAAATATTGAATATCACAAAATATAATACATTCTTTTACGAGAAAAAGTTTTTAAACTTTTCTATTTATAGTCAAATAATAATCATATTAATAAAATATTTTCACTGCATTATGTTCAACAATTAACAGACATAATGTCGAATATTGCAGTATACGAAGAGAATAGTTATGCTGAAAAGTACTTGAAAATTTAGATAGTACAAATCTGAAGATAATTCTATTGGATATCAAAATAATTATGAAACTTTAATTGCTAGAATATCAAAACTTCTTGCAGCATTGCTTGTCATGAGTTTCCTATAATAATTATTTTAATGAGATCCAATAAAATTATTTTAAATCTGTATCTATATTTAAATTTTTAGATATTTCAGTAAAATCGTTCTTTTCGTATACTTTCGGAGGAGAACGCTTTGCAAACGGATGTACTCTCACGGCTTTGATTAAATTCTTCTATCAACTTCCTCTCACGATAAGAAATTCTAACTAGAAAAGCCGAGCGGAAGGAAGGAAGAAGTAAATGAACGAATAAACGAAAGAAACTGACTTTTATATCAAGAGAAATTTTTTTTTTACAATGTCTGGCATCGAGTTAAAAAAGGAAATAAAACGGGATGTTCGTAGATGTAAATTTTAAGGAGGTGCATTGTGGAAAAAATCTGGACGGCGAGATGTGTCGCAAAGTGAAAGAAGCGAAAGGAAAAAAAGGGAAATGTATGGACGATTCAGGGAACTAGAGAAAAATAACATGTCTTCGTTCTGGAGGCGACCAGTAACTTTGTATGTACAGAGCGGGTTTCCATACGGCATTATCTCGAGACTACCTTCCTGGAAGAGGCAGATGTTTCTATACGGTTTCGTTAAACATCAAGAAGAAGAAACAGTGAAGTCGATGAAGCATAGTTTAGCAACATTTAAGAAAAAGAAACGCATTTCATGAAGATGGAGGCATATCACTTAGTCTGTTTTATGATTACTTTCCGTTCAATTATAATAAAAATGAACCGAAAGTAATTATAAAAACAGACTAAGTAACATGCCTTCATCTTCTTAAATAGTTTTTCTTAAATGTTGCTAAATTACATTTTCTATTAGTAGACGCAACGTGCGCCAACAATTTATTTTCTCTGGTAATATAATGTAATACACTTGTAAATATATGTCTGCGTATTCTGCACATGTTGGAACACATAGGGGAGGTTAAAGGAAATATTACTCATTCTATTACCGTGTATCTTATATTAATTTAATTGGATAATTTGGATGATAATCGTACAAAGAATATACGTTCTGTTGTAAAGTCTTTAAAATCATTAAGATCGCAATTATGAGGAACGTTCGATCGGTATTTTACGTTTTATCTCTGCAGAAAATTTACGACATAAGATCACGGTATTTATTTTGTTGCCAACACTTTTCACGTAATTTTCAATAAATCCATTGAAACGTGATTTCCAAAAGTTGCCGTTTATGCTGCAAAAAATTGCATACTAGTGGAAGTTTACAAGTAATATGTCTGGGTACTTTTAGTGTTTAAGAATAGACATCTATCTTTCCTTCTTTCCGAGAAGTCTTCCTTTTATTGTCTACAGATCCTTTTCTGTATACTTATGTCCCTTGGTGAAATACAATATTCTTCTATATATATATATATATATATATATTGTTACATCAGTGTCACGTAAAAAGGACGAAAATAGCCCAACAAAGTTGACGTAGTAGATAAGCAGTTGGGACGCGGGAAAACTGATAACTCGAGAAGTCTTCGTGCTAGATAAACAAC